TATGTTGAGTTTTTTAAAATGTGTTCAACATAATGAACAAGGGAATGTTTTATGACAAAGTTTAACCTACTAAATAAAGCAATTCTTCATATTTCAGTAGTAAAGTTGCCGCTGTATATGTTCCTTTGAAGAGAGAATTATTCTCATTAGAATAACTCACGGATTTCAAAAGAGGTTTTTTATAAAAGCATTTACGAAAAAAAATCTAGTGCAATTTATTTTTCATTTCTAAATCTCGAGTAATTTTATTCATGTGTAATGTAAAAGATGAAAGGTGAAAAAAAAGTATAAGATTGTTATTTGGACGGTAGACTCATTTTAAATACTCTGCATAAGAAGGCAGTTGAAATGCACGCTTTGGTTTTCGTGACGGGACAAAAGTTTTTGAGAATATAATTTCGTCATGTCGAAGTTGCTTGCTAAAAACTTTTTCAAGACTTGCTTCTTGCTATCTATATATATAGAGAGACTTTCGATGAAGCCTTCACGTTTTACACCCTCGCCTAGTCTCCAGAGACCATCAGGTTTTGCGTCAATTCAAAAACAACTCTGCCGCCTAGCCTTTATTGCTTTTAGAGAAAAACAATCTAATACTGCTAAGTGCTTGAAACACATAAACCGTCTCAACTCTATTTCCCGTAAATGAGTTTGACTAATATTGTCGACCAATAAAGTCCGAAAACAACTCCAAATAGTTTTCTTTTATTCTACTTTAACGTTGTGATAAAAATTTTATTCACTGCACTTATCTTTGTTTTGGTTCAAGCTCATTTATTACATAAATGCTGTTTAACGCGAATCACTTTTATTCAAGTAAACAAACGTTAGATTGACATATAATAAATGACCATGGATTTAAAATAAAAGTAAGCTACCCTACCGTCCAGGACGATTACACGCGACTCTATGAAAAAACATGTCATCACTTTTTCAATCATATCTTGGCAATAAAAGGATATTATTAAAAATGTGAAGCCGTGTTGCTCTCGCAAATTCTTTACAGACAATTTGCACAAATTTTAATTTTGTGCCTACGCCACTGCGCGCCTAGTTCTCGGAACTACGCTCCCCTCCCCTGCGGCGTTGACCAATACGCGGCGAGGCGCTTGCCCCTCCCGTCGAGTATAAATACCGCGTCTTAGATCGGAGAGAACCATTACCGATCTCGACTCCTCAGGGGTAACGTCGCAGTAAAATTTTTATTCACCTGCAATTATTTTTATTTTACACAAGACTAACTTGGTCGATGTAACGCTTCAATATATTTCTTTCTTTTAAAAAAATAACGCGAATTCCAACACTTTTCCCCTCCCTAAACATTTTTCCAATTGTCATAAATTATTTTTCCTATTGATGCCAAAATGACTGAATCATTTTAGATGACCCAGTCCAGAAATATCCTGCTCACCGCAAGATGCCTCGCTTTATAGAATGTTTAAAAAAAATTATTTTTGTAAATAAAATATGTCAAAATAAAGTTCAAAGTTATCCCACGTACTTCGGTATCCCCCTACAAGTAAATAAATTTAATCTTTGAACTCAATAAGACTGTTAATAGATTTTTTATCATCTTGGTCAAGTTCATCACGAAAATAATAGAGTGATAAGAAAACTTAATTAGAATTTCTCCTAGTGTTACATCGTTTAGTTTATTCAATTATTGGCGAAAAAGCTATTTCTGTCAATGAAAACGCGTTCTTATATTTGAAGCGCATCGTTCTGTGAAAAAGAAATAGTCGCTAGAAATGAATCACGGAATGAGTAGAATGCCTCTTGAAATTAAAATTCAATTCGCAGAGAGAGAGAGAGAGACGCCATTAGATTAAGTGGAATTGGAAACTTCGGGTAGGAAATTACAGTCGATTCACCTTAAAACGTACCTTGTTATCTTCTTCGTCGAACAAGATGGCAAACACACCCCCATCGTCTGGGTTTTCACCTCAGTCTCATAAAACTCATTTTCTAGTAAAAGAATTCCATAATATGCATAATGGTCAAAATTAAATTTAAGCGAGATTCAAACTAGTTTCCGTGACAGCGATCAATTTGACTCACAAATTTCTTTTGATCATTATTTAAAAAGCAATGAAATTAAAGACAAAATTCAATATACGAGGCTTGTGTAAAAATAGGCTTTCTATATAAATTTTACCGGAATTTACAGTTTGAAAAATATTTTTAAAAAAACTTTTATTCTCTCCTATTAATTTCAACGAACCAGAGGATCTTAAAATTAATGTCGTCAATTTATTGGGATTAATTAGAACAGAAAACCAATTTTATGTGATCGTAAATGCTACGAGTTGATAGACAATATCGTGCTGACATTGGAGAGGAGACTAGTGGGCTGGTTCTTTTTTTTCATCTCTAAAATTGAAAATAGTGTGAGGTTGCAAAATGGAAAAGACAAAGAGAAGATAGGAGAGAATGGGCATATAGATCGGTAAGGGGAATTTTACGAGTATCCCACGTGAAATACGAGTTAACTCGATGCCTTGAACAACGTCTTGCCCACCAATCACATTTTACGCGTTAATAAAGGTCAAAGTCAGTTCATTCAAGCCATTATATCCTAGTTATATTACTTGCCTACTATGTGGTCTGATTATATTCCGAGTCGTTTGCTTTGTAATAAACACCTAACCCTCATTATGCGCCTCGCTAAATCGAATCGATAATTGTACTCTAAGCAGTCAAATAATACTCGCTATTAAAATTTTTGAACAAAATTATATTAACTAACAATTTTTTCCATTAAATGCTAAAATTAGTTCTCATCAACAAGTCTTAAACTACAGCGTCTACAGAACGACTTAAAATTAGGAGTACTCGCATTTACCTGAACCATCCTAATGGGGTAATTGGGTGACTGCGGAAAACCTCTCCAGAGTATAAACGGTGTTACGTTAAATATGAAATCTTTTTAAAATCTTCCCTATTTTTCTTGTTTTAAATCAGTTTTAAAAAAATTACTCACTTGTTAACTAATAGAATTAACCCTACCCTTTCTAGGTTAGGGTCCCTTTTCTAGGTCAGTAGGTCCCTTGTAAAATATATTATAAACAGTATCAAACATCAGTCTTATAATTCCCACATTTCATAAAATGCTTTTTTTTAATTCTATGGTTCATAATTGAAATTTCTTAATCTTACGAAGTAGCATTCGGAACATTGGTGCATTTAAAATTGTGAAAAAAATAGAAGTAAATTCGACCACATTCTGAGTTAAGAACCAACCCCAAAGTCCTCCCTCGGTAATTGAAGAACTCTTCTGAAAAGTGGCTTCTTCTGTCCAGAAACTAGGTTCAAACATGAGATTTGCAAATAATTCATGACTGTAAATGGAGAATTCTGTTGGTACTTAAATATTAAAACTCGTCGGAATGGACTTTTTCAATTTCACCTCTTCTCTTTCAACTCTTCATTTCTACTTTTATAAATGGACCAACAAAAATTCCAATTTTCTTACTCTCGGGTTTATAATTAAGAGGCATTTAAGGCAGTCATTAAAACAAAATACAAAACACGGTGTCGCCAACAATTCATTTTTTAACAGTTTAACGACTTTTTTTCTGCATTATTGCAAAACAAAATTTTTATGAAATACTGTTGTCATGAAAGTAAAATTCGATAATATGAAAGGAATTTCAATAGTTTGCCGAAAAGGTAACTAATAACGTTGAAGAGTTTAGTAAGGTGCAGATGATGGATCAAAGGGTTACACTCGAGATCCTCGACTTAGATTACCTTACCCAGAATGGAATAGTCCAGAAAGATTTAATTTTGTTAGGGACGCCAGCAAAAAGAAGATAGGTGACGGTTTTAGGACCCAGTAATTGGGGACTTTAGTATTTCATTATGTAAGGTTAGGATATTCAAGTCAACCTTATTTTTCACTTACCATGGATTCACAATAGGTGGGAACTATCCCCCCACTCTAACTGACGAGAGGAGTCAGTTTGGGACTACGCTTCAACTGATGCGGATGTTCTTATTTTTGATCAAGTATTATATTTAATGTTACCATACTGTCGTGGGACTCTGCCCTTCAGTGTAAAATGAGAATAATTAATTTTAATCTATTCCCTTCAATTAGAAAATAGTATAACCTTTATTGCCCAAGCTCATTGTCCAAGTAACAAATGCATTTGGCAACAAATAAATCCGTTACCTTCCATTCTATTTCCTCAAAAGATTTTCAAACAGGGGGAAACTATTTCTCTTTTATCGATTAATTAAAAGGTAATGATTAAGTTACGGTAAGTATAAAATGCATTGGAAATAGTTATTTAATTTTTCTTGCACGGATTTTAAGGTGATATAATATCATTTTTACTGATAGCCCAGTATTCAACCACAAATATACTTTTGTTTCATTAAATTACAAAGTGTTAAAACTAAAGAAATATTAACATTAACTTAGTATAGTCACCATTACCTATTCGCCATTTGGTTTGACTTCTAGTAACAGTAATCTCTTCCTAATTAGACACGACATAAAGTCAATGATCAAAGTGATATAATATAATTTTTATTGATAGCCCAGTATTTAATCTCAGTCTGTAACTAAGTTAGTTAAAAGTGTTTAAACAGTCTTAAACATTTATTTAGCATTTATTTCCGTTTTGCCACGCTGTCGTGAGACTCTGCCCTTCAGTGTAGAATGGGAATAATCAATTTTAATCTATTCCCTTCAATTAGAAAATAGTATAACTTTTTTTGAAGGGGAAAACTGTCCGCGATAACATTGTAACTAATTTATATAATGACAATAATTTTGCCATCCTTTGTTCTTGGAAGGGTTGTCACTATTTTTACTAAATCAAAATAAATTTAAACAAATGCTATTTCTAAAATAATATTTTTGCAACCTCAGCTAAAATTGTACATTTTTGAAAACTTTTTCAAAACTGTTTCTGTTTCATAAGTAGTCTCAAGTGTCACGTTACTTCGCCCTGTCAACGTTATGAATATGACAATGGAAATAATATAAAACTTACCAACGACGTTCAGGTGCACAAAATGGCTCATGTGTGGAGTTGTTGAGACCTGACATTCATAAAGTCCGCTGTCTCGATGTTGGGGATATTTTATTTGAAGCGTCCAATCGTCCGAACGCAAATTGTGAATTGCACGAAATCGTTGATCATTCGTGTAGGTATATTGTCCGATGGTAAGTAGGTGGATATCCCTATACCTCACCCATGAAACTTGTAAGCTCATCTGAAACAAAAAACAAATGCAAAACAAAATATAATAATTTGCCATTGTATAATTTTTGTTAAAAAGAAAATCGAGAAATATATTTGAATATGAAATGCTTTCATAAGATTATACAATTCTTCATTAAATTAACAATAGACGGGATATATTTCAAGTTTATACATGCATAAAATAAATCCGTTTCTCGCCTTTTGTGAAAATTATTCTTGCGAATTAATAAGGTTCCCTTTTTCGGAAAACCAAAACCGCATATGTTTCATAGAAACGGTGAGGTGCCCTTGGCGTAATAATTAGACATTTCCACGTCCGGCAAACATTTGCGTATCTTGCTATTTTGAGGAAAATTTAAATACAAAAGATAAAACTTGCTGCTTTTAATGTTTTCTATTCTAGCTTGGAATTAATTGATAAAAAGAAAAAACAGTTTCACCACCCGAGGTACTCAGTTGAGATTACTTTAAATTCTCATGATCATTTCTGATTGTAAACACATTTTGATAAAAGAAAAAAAATTCAAAGTAATATATTAAAATAGACTTTGGATAGAATTCGATGGGTAAAAATCATTCCCAATTTCCAACTATAGAAGAGTGTAGGAAACAAAGCTATTGAAGCAATTATTGAAAGCGATTTATCTGATTCTCGTTGGTTTCATCGTGAATTTGTTCTTGACATTTGAGCATTGATTTCCGTTCAGTGGAATTTACTGACTATTTAGATATTCGCTTGTATCCCGTGAGCATCATTTTTATTTTGATGCTGACCGACGATTTCCGCAAGATAAAATAAACAATAGCTAATCGGAGACAACTATGGATTGCACGAATATCCTATCAGCAATGCTACAAGACCTAAAAGGTCCAAAACCCGTTGAACTGCATCGTTAGTTACATGCCATTCAGGTTACCATCGAGATAAACGAGTTACCCAAGTTTTGTGTGTATATCGCCCTCGCTTGAAAGCGACAAACAGAATTTATTAGCGATTTTAAAAACGCTCGAGGGCGATATTTAAAAAAACGAGGAAGTATTTTTTACGAATTGCTATTTTTGCTTTGTTAGCATAAGAATTTCGGTAAACGGTACAAAAAAGTGGAATCATTCAAAAATAAAAAAGTGTCTAATATTTTTCAACATCTTAGTGTGTCAAGTTTGCAAACAAAATTTTTTTTTGATAAACATGAGAATTAAGAAGAAATATGTTTATGAATAACGCAGTGACCAACACACATAAATCTTATGCGTATGACAAGCACATATTGGTATGCAAAGAGTACATACATACAGTGCGACACTGCAGAAGCTAGAATTCTGTCGTTGTGACGGCAAGCGGTTGCAGCTGCCGGGAACGGGTGAAACCTTCGCCCTGCAACTATGGCAGTTTACATTGCATGCATATCATAAATTAGGGAAACAACCGACTCGAGATATAATACATTGTATATAAAGCTAGTTGTAGCACAACGAAGTTTACAGGCACCCCTGGAAGGCAATGAGTCGCTGATGCTTTGCTACTTGCTGTCACGTTAGCCACAGTTCCCGTTTATCTACGGAGATATCTCTAAACGTCGCTTTAGAATGACTAACCAGACTAACGTCTTCAGCAAGCTTCAAAACTACCACATCTAAAGTAATTTTGGTTCATAACTTTGTATACCAATTCTACTATAACACTATTAAGTTAATTTTAATATTTCCCTTTCAAAAATTTCGTCAAACATGAAGTTTAGTTGCGGTTGGATACTGGGCTATTGCAAAAATTCCAAAAATAATTATATATTAATTGATCATTAATTCAAAAATAGATTCTTCAAAATCTAAGGAAGTTAATTTTAAACACTTTCGGGTATTATGACTAAAATAGTTTTTGGTTTGTTAAATATGCAATTAAACTTTTCATATTTATTGCAATTTCAACAAGAGCGACTGTGTAACACTTCACATAATAGTTGTTGAAAATCCAATAGCATATTTCTAACAGTACAGTACCCTTGGAGAGAGCAGAATTTCATGGGTTCAAGTTTGGTTACATCGTCAAGTTTGATGTATAGTTTCACCTTCCTACACCTTAATTAAATCTAAAATTTATACCACAATAAACTAATCGTCTCAAAAACGTCTTTGTGTTGCACACGTTATTATTCATTTCAAATGAAATTATAAACATTTTAATATAATGATATTAATTTAAATATGACTCATTTAAAGGAGAATTCATTTACGTAATTCATTTTCAGTGGAATAATGTTTGATATTTCGTGTTTTACATAATAATGAGTAGAGAGACACAGATTCAAATACACTTTACACAATGCTGAATTCGTAGAATTCGTCTACTCAAGAGGGGAATCTATTTATCAAAGTGGAGCTAGAGTAGAGTACTTTGCTTGTGTGGCAGTTCTACTTGCTTTGTGCACCGGCATGCACATCTTCGGAAACACCCGAACGCCTGTGTACTGCAGATAGCAAAGGTCTTTGATGTTTCGCACAGGCTATCGATGCCCAAGCTCATTGTCCAAGTAACAAATGCATTTGGCAACAAACAAATCAGTTACCTTCTATTCTATTTCCTCAAAAGAATCAATTTCCAATCAGGGGGAAACTATTTCCCTTGTATCGATTAATTAAAAGGTAATGATTAAGTTACGGCAAATATATAAAACGCATTAGAAATTGTTATTTAATTTTTATTGCAGGGATCATTAAGGTGATGTAATATAATTTTTACTGATAGCCCAGTATTCAACCACAAATATACTTTTGTTTCATTAAATTACAAAGTGTTAAAACTAAAGAAATAGTAACATTTGCTTAGTGATCGTCACTATTATCTATTCGCAATTGGGTTTGACTTCTAGTGACAGTAACCCTCTTCCTAATTAGACATAGCATATAGCCAACGATCAAAGTGATATAATATAATTTTAACTGATAGCCCAGTATTCAACCACAAATATACTTTTGTTTCATTAAATTACAAAGTGTTAAAACTAAAGAAATAGTAACATTTGCTTTGTGATCGTCACTATTATCTATTCGCCATTGGGTTCGACTTCTAGTGACAGTAACCCTCTTCCTAATTAGACACGACATAAAATCAATGATCAAAGTGATATATTATAATTTCTACTGATAGCCCAGTATTCAACCACAAATAAACTTATGTCCCTTTAAATTACAAAATGCTAAAACAAGAATAAAAATTAACATCAGCTTTAGTGATCGTCACCATTATCTCAAGTCTTGTATCGCCTCAACCTGGTTGATACTGTATTGTATCTTCTTTAGACCGTCCTTTCTCTCGCGGTTATTAATATTTTGAACTTCACAACACTTTAACATTCTTAAGCTTCCTCATTGATTTTAGAAATTATTTCCTTATCCTCCCATCTCAAAAATAAATTTCCTTGGATTATGGTGTTCCTTAAATATCTTTGAACAGATAAATTATAAATATCGAAGCAGTAATCAATTACGATACGGTTATGAAATAAAAAGGGAATAAAATTAACAAATTAATTGGGGAAAGAAAATTTTTATAGAAAGTCTTTTGTGCTTGTGAAGCGATTGGAAAAAAAGTTATTCTTTTTTCCTTTCTTAAAAAAAAGATACGCCCCTTTGGCATTCAGCTTTCCAATTACTCCACTCCATGACTAGTTAGACTAAAGCGAGACCGCAATATGCCGAGGAATAATTTATCGGGCGAGACAGGTCGCTCTCTCGCTGGAAAAGCCTTACGGCGTTGGAGGAATGTACGCTCTTCTCCTTCATCCCAGGATTTACTTTTTCTTCTCTTCTCGTCATTTCGTTAAACCACACAAACGTAAAGGAGAAAGAGAAAAAAAAGAATGTTACACCGCGAAAATTTGAATCTACATTCTCAATTTTATGTCTCCCTAATACACTTTTCCATTATTTTTTCTACTAACGAAAGGTGTTACATATACCAGGGTAAAAAGAATTTTTACGTTTTGAATATATATTTTTTTAAAAAATGCACACTTTAATTGAAACTTGCATTTAAGATTCGAAATTAAAGCAATTTTCATCAGGAAAAATTTTTTTGAATTTAAAACGAGATACTATTTTAATATCATCCAAAACTAACAAAAAATTAACGCTCCACGTCCGCTTATTACTCATATTTCTTATTTAAATAAGGTAACTTTTAAATTTTAATTTCCACTTTAAATTAAAATTCTATTAAAATTGTCGTAAATTTCTAAGAGAGATAAAATGAGACAAATGGCAAAGCTTGATATTATTTTAAATTTTTATTTTCACAAAAAAAGTTTTTTTACACATTTACATTACTGGCGTTTTTGTTATGAATATTTAATTTATATCCAGTTTTTAAACATTTTTTAGGCTAATTTTGAAATGTCCCTTAAATTGTGGTTTGACAATTAGGTCAGAACGAAATGAACACGAGTCAATAAAGTAGATATCGAATTCACATGGCTGCTCTAATGGATGTTATAAGCAACATATCTCAAATGATAACATGTTCGGTACAAGTCGTAACTGGTTTCATGTTTTTGGCAGATAAATCCCATTCAAGTTCTCTTCAACATCAATGACGTCATTTTAACCATGACGCATAAGTGCTTACTCTAGTTAACTATTACCAATTACAATGCACATCCTGATAATGGGCTTCCAATATCTCTCGGAGTTTCCCAAAATGCGTGAAACCTCATTCTCACAAATTAATTCATACTGTTAAATTTCACTTTCTGATTCTTTGTGTTCTTTTTGACACAGAATTAGTGGAATTTTTAAAGTTAGTGGTAGAATGAAAATAATAAATTAAAAATGTTACTACGTTCTCTATAATATTGGGTTAACATTGAATTGATAACATTGCCCATGTCTATTATACTTTTACTGAGACCCTTGTCTATTGTTTGTTTGATTATCTTTTTGCACCCTTGTGCACATGTCTAGACGTCAGTAATTGTTGATGAAACCACCTTTACAATGGTATAACTAATTCTAATC